TTTTTGAACTCCTTAATATCAGCTTCCTTTTATCCCCTCCCTCTCCCACCCTACCCCCCATGAACCCCTACTTCCCCTATATATTTTTTGCCATCTCTTACACAATCCAATATATCCGTTCACATACAATTTTTTTGTTCGATCCCATTGAGTGGAATTATACAGTCATTAATGCTATTCCTTCCCTATTCCTCTCTTTCCACCCCTTCTCTTTTTCGTATTCCCAGGAAACCATTACTCCTGTTACTGTTTCTGAAGGGTTATCTATCTTGGCTTTAATATACAGAATGATGTTAAATAAACAAATGAACATAATGCAAATCTAACATGATTAATGTGGTAAAACAAAAACCAAAATAAGGGGAGGAAATATCAGTGCTGTCCCATCCCCTGGATTTATCATCCCTTCCATGTGGCCCTTCTGAGAGGGACTGTCCCAGTTACGTTACAGATGGGTTTTGTGTCTCCACTACATCCGTGCCCCTTTACCACATTTGTTTATGCACCCATGAAATGGGTCTTTAAAAGTATGTCTTATACTCTTTATATTTCAATGGTTTATACTTGTATTAGACACTACCTCCTGCTATACCCCACAAAGACAAGACCAGCTGGGTGTGGGGAGCCCCAGGAAGTGTGTGGGTCTTTAGTTTCATGGGGTAACTGAGTATTGGGATTCTTTTGCCCTATTGCTCTCAGTTGATCAGTTTATCCGTCGATGTAGGGCAGACATGTTTTTATGGCACCTGCAGGGCAGTTCTGCCCTGTCCATAGGGTCACTATCAATGGAATTGACAGGATGACAGTGGATTTTTGGTTTTGCAGCACCTTGGTGTTACAATAGGACAAGCACTAGACTGGGAACTGCAGAGCCGGTCGTTTAGACCTAGGAGCCACTCCTGAAGACAGTTGGGACTGTCTGCTCCCATAAAGATTTATAGCCTTGAAAATCCTCACACAGGGTTCTTATGAATCCAGATCGCCTTGATGGTAGTGGGTTTGGGTTGGTGTTTGGTTTACTACAATCATAGTGAAGGTCTGACATAAGACTAGTTTTGTGTTGTTGGTTTCCTTAAAATAGCAAATACTTGATACTTTCCCCCCAAATTACAATGCACCTACATTAAAAGCTTAAGCTGTAATTGAGTAGAATTTTTAAAAATGTAAACAAAAATGACAGCCAATAAAAGCGATTTTTATAAAACTGCAGCAGCAAGAAAAAGTGCATCTGTCAGAAATAGTGGCATAGGAAACACATACACATGGCATTAAAAACTGGTTTTTAACAAATCCCTTAAATTCAAAACCCCAACAATCAAGGTTTTAAAAATGTTTTTGTCTTCTGAATTTTCTGTAACATTTCTTTTATAATGAAAAAACAAATTTATATCAGTTTTATTTACTGTGGATTCTGAAGCTACACGTCATCAGAAGGAAATTGTCTTAGGGAAGTTTAGATTCTACCACCTTAAGCAACCTCATTGTAGGTAGTGAGCTTGGTGCCCTTTAAACATTGGCTGTGCACCATGGGGTCACCAAGTCCATTGATTTGAAGGCAGCTAACAATGGGGTGATAGAGCTTCTCCAGTTCCTCACCTGCCAAATGATCGCTCATTTGAGAGCAAGCAACATCATTATTGGGAAGAAAATGTGTCCTGTATCCACAAAAGCAATGGTTGCCCTAGTAGAACTCTACTGGTGCTGGAGATCTCTAGAATCCAGATTCTTGAAGGGAATCAACAAGCTAATATACCAATTAGCTGAAGAATGACAAGCCTTTTGGTCTAGTTAGTAAAGAAGCCCTGGACTTTTCTTGCCTAGACTGTAGGCAATAGAGATTTGGGGGGAGTGGGGTTAAGCCTTGGCAGTCTTTTCATTTTCAGCAAGTAAAAAGAATGGATCTTGGCTAGAGGAATTCGGAATTTTCCTAGGAAACTTACACTGGCCTAGCCTTGCCAATTAAACTGAGCATTTTTCAAAAGATGGTATAAATATATTGTAATTATGATTTCAGTAAAAGGTAATACTTTACATGCCACATTTGATTTTTATACTTTTAATTTGAATGCATCAAGAAGTGATTTTTCATGCTTAACAGAAATAAACACTATTATATCAGTGGTTGATATCGTGATTTAAAAAAAAATTTTTTTAGATATCTTGATTTTAAAATGAAAATCCAGATTTTTTCCACTGCACGCCGGCAGTTATTTGAACTGCTAATTAGCAGGTGTGCTGCATATACTTTATTCTTTTAATGCTGTTGACCATAATTGTTGTCTCTTATCAAGTTAATCCTGATTTCTGGTGAGCCCACGTGACAGAGTACAACTGCTCCAAAAACCTTGACAAGCCTAGAGTGTCAGTGTCTCTTCCCTGCAGAAGAAGCTTAGTGTGTTTGAACCGCCGACTCTGGTAATAGGATCTGACTTTTGTTGTTGTTAGTGGCCTTGGAGTGGCTTCTGCATCATGGTGACCCACCCCATGTGTGACAGAGTAGAACTACTCCATAGGATGTTCAAGGCTGTGATCTCTTGAAAGCAGTTGCTGGGGTGCCTTTGGGTGGGTTGAACCACCAGCCTTTCAGCTGGTAGTCAGCACTTAGCCTATTGTGCTACCATATTTTTGGTGCTTGTCTGTTTTTGATGTGCTCTTATATCCATGGTCCTGTTGGAGGCCACATTGTTCACTGGTAGATTGTGGAAATGCCCTTCCAATCATTTGACTAGTGAGGTGAAGTTGATAAAGCAAGTTAGTAGAGCATCTAGGTCAAAAATCCACATCTGGGGACTCCTAGCCTCATGCTTTGTAAGGAAGACATTGATAAACAACCTGGACCGTGTTTGTATCTATAACCACTGTGCTGAAGTTCCCCCAATAGTACCTGGTTTCTGAAGGAGGCTGAGTCTTCCCCTCCCCCTCAGTCTTACATATGTGATTCATTAGCTTAGCAAACCCTGCCTTTCTTGGGTAATACAAAGGCAAACTTCAGTTTGGGGTACTTTTAAACCCAGTCCCTCTGGAATTTATGAGGTTTTCCTGTCCATGACTTTGACCATATGTGACTGTTGCAGAGCCTGTGTACCTGACTCATTTGCATGGGGGCCTCAGGGGATTTCTTGTGGTGAAGCCTGACTAGATGGCTGCCTGCCTGCAGCCAAAGCAAGGGAGCCGGGGCTGTTGAATCAAATGAAGTTTTTCTGTCTTTGGAGTTGCCAGCTCTTTTCCTTCTTGCCTTTTATTTTTTAGAATTAAAAGGTTCCTCTAGGATTCTCCCTTCAGCCAAAGGTTTATATCTGGAAAGAATCAGTACTGCATCAGTAAGATTTTATATATGTGAGTGTGTATGTATATAAAATACATATTAATTTAGATTTAGAATAGGTATTTCAAGTTTTAAGCCATAAAAACAACAGCAGATTACAGTGGTTTAAGAGATAGGGAGGATTATAAGTAAACTTTCAAACTATACAAAGGATTATACTACGAGTGAGTTTATTGTGCCAACCTGGCCGATAAACACACGTGGGATTAATTGAAAGGCTGAGGGCTAAATGGCTCAGTGAGCCTCGCCTTTAGAGTTCTCGGGTCTCTTGCTTTATGATGGTCGCACCAGGGTGCAGCTGCCTTAGCAGTTCCCTGCTTCAGCTTGCAAGGCTGACTTCCTGCAAGACATCTCCAAGGAGAAGCCGCATGGATCTATCCCGATGCAGCCCTGGGTGGTGGAGCAGCCGTGTGGAGACCCCTGCCAGCGCTGAGATGCTTACACATTCACTGATCCAGCCTTCCTCCTGCAGTCGGCATCATTGCGTCTGTTTTGTGAGATGGAGGAGGACTTTGTGGACTGGTGTTGGACATATGGGTTAATGGGTTACTGTTGGACTTGTGGGCTTGGGCAGCACTGGGTTGGGATGTTTTCTTGATGCACAGTTAACCTTTACATAAAACTCTTTTTTACATGAGTTTCTGTGGATTTGTTTCTCTAAAGTACCCAGACTAACACATAGTATAAAAATTCAGAATGTATGAAAAGCTTCCCTTTTTCACCCCTCACTCTTCGTCCTAAAGCTTGTTTCAAGGAGGAACTATGGTATCCATTGGCAAGTCATACCCTGTGGGGCCGAGAACTGCCTCACAGTCTTTGTAAGGCGGTAGCTGAACAAAGCCGCCTGGCACAGCTTTTTCCTATGGAGCTGCGAGTGGATTTGAACCACCAACCTTTTGGTTAGCATGAAAAGCACTTAGCCACTGTACCACAAGGACTCATTTATATATCCTGACAGAACCTAGTTATATTTAAAGTATACCCATCATGTTGGAACATCCTAGAAGAATTTAAGCTCTTACTTAGCTCTAGCCAAAGGAAGATCTCTGCTGTAGTATTGCAGTGGGGGGTGGAGAACGACTGTCGTTGGAGAGCATTAACTGGATAAATGGGGTGCAGGAGCATTCCTTTGATGAAACGGAGAAGTCCTGGAACCATCTGTTTCTTCCTTCCTGTAGTCTAGTCTACAGCTGCAGGCATTCACAGCGAGCAGGGAATTGTCAACATCTGGAAACTGAGCAAAGTGCACGACTGCTCTTCACGTTTTAAAAGGCAACCATTGTTTCACCAGGCTCCTCCCTTTGTCTCCCAGGTGAACAGTCTGCGCATGGCAGACCCCGTGGAGACGGTGCTGCAGCTCCAGGACTGCAGCATCTTCCTCAAGATCATTGACAGCATGTGAGTATGCTCCCATACCCTCTCCAGCCTCAACGCCCCCACTGGGCAGGCTGCAGGTGTTTTCCCTTTGCTTGGTGACAGCTGTGACTAGAAAGCGTGGGCAGGATTGGGAAATCAGAAGCCAGTGTGTGGGGCTCAGCAACGAGAAGAACACACTGGCCTCATCCTCCTATAACTGTGCCTTTAGCTGCGGGAGAGGTTTCACGCGTGTCTCACCCTAAGGCTTCCTCTTGCTTTGAGGGGCCTGCAGCCTGCTGTGTTCTCACCCAACCCCAGAGCCGGCCGGGGCAGAGCTCCCTGCTGTCCCGTCTGCAGGGGTGTGTTCTGTAGCCCTTTGCTCTGTTCAGTCCCCTTTGCAATCGCTCAGATCAGGAGGAGGAAAGAGAAACAAAACTTGAAGAAGCACATATTGTTATTGTGAGGTGCTGTAACAGCGATTTCAAATCTCAGTGACCACACATGACAGAAGAGAATCGCTTCATAGTGTTGCCTGGGCTGTAATCTTTTGGGGAGGAGACTGCCAGCCCTTCCTCCTGCTGTACCACTGAGGGGGCTCGAACATCCAACTTCTCAGTTAACAGCCAAGCACTTAACCATTAAGTCACCACAGGTCCTTGAAGCAGCCCTTAGATGTCTGCTTTCTAACTTGTTAGCACAGCACAGATGACGGTCCTTTCCTCTAATCCTGACCACGTTTCTGGAGTGGTCTGCCTGCCTGATGGAGTTGCTTTGGTGAGGTCAATGAGCACTTGATAGGCTTGCTCTTGTCTTGTAGCCAGACTTCTATTTCAGCCCTTTTTGCTTTATGTCCTGGTCTTCAGCACACGTCTCCTTTGAACTTCAGTTATTGGAAAACTAATGGAGTGGAGCCGCCTGTTCACATCACACCTCTCTAGAACAATCAAAGATCTTTCAAGCCATAACCTACAGTTTTGTGTAAAGCCCAGGTAGTTCATCCTTTTTCTCATACCTACCAACTTTCAGGACCTGTAGAGGACAGAGCTGACCTTATTTCTGTCATAGGCAGAATTAGAGACCTTATTTCTCTCTTATAGGCAGAATTAGAGGCTTCAAAAAATTGGTGGACATATTCTCCCCTGCCCCAAGCAAACCAAAAGCCTCACCTATTTATAAATTGTTAACCTCTTAATACAAAAGCATAAAAACCAAGAAAGAAAGCAGCTGTTTGCCAGTACACGTTCAGTGGATCAGACAGTGGCAAAGTCTTCCACTCAGTGTGACAGTGCTAGTGAGCCTGGGCAAATGCTGCCTTGTCATCACACGTGTGGCTCCTCACGAACCCAACTGGATTCTTCTCCCATGTTTTCTCTGAGTTGTGTCTGACCTGTTAACGGTTTTCATTCAAATCCATTGAATGAGAATGGGCCGAATGTACCTTTGTTTCTTGGCCAGGGATCGCTTGATCCTGAAAGTCTCATGAAGACATTGTGAAGATGGAAGGCAGCCACATTCAGGGTAGCAGAGAAACAAGATTCTATTGTCTTTTAATACCATTTCCCACAAATTTTGACCCATTGTCATATGAGAAAATGGGATGATGACGGAGAAGACCCCTTTAAAAATAATAATCTAGGATAGACAGTGAACCCCAGGACAGACTGAGCTGCTGAGGGGCTTTATGTTCTCTACACGGGAACTAGGAACGGGAGGTCAGAGGTCCAGCATCTGAGAAGGGAAACGACCTCCCATTGGGAGGCAATAAATAGCTCCTGGATGAAAACAACTGGGCATATCAAAGGGTTGCGTCTGGTTCATCTTGGGGGTCTCCACACCTACCTTAGGACGTTACATGATGAGGTTATTTTCACTAGCACCCAGAAGTCCATGTTTTGCTTTTTGCCTTTGCCCCTGTTATGCTATGAATTCATAAGCAGCTAGCTCAGGCTTCTTTCCAAGTGTTCTCCGACAGTCTGCCAGAGGGAACAGGCCGGCGCTTCCATCGAATCCAGGGCCCTTTCTCCTTGGCTTCTTTTTTCTGATGACTCCCTTCCTGCACATATTTCTTGTCTGTTCTAGTGTTTATCATTCTCCTGGAAAGCATTTTGTCCTTTGTTCGTTTACAGCAATGCCAACAGCACACTGAGTCGTGTTGTAGACTCTCTAGGTTTCTCCATGGTCACATTTGTGGGCACACCATTTTGAATAGTGCCTATGCCCTGGATGTTCACAGTATCACCTGTCTTGTAGATACACATGTATGTAGCCGAGGAACACTGCTGTGCTTTCTAAGGGTTCTGCAGCATACTGCCTCTCCTCTTTCCCTTTGTATTTTCCATCTTGGTGGATTTCCCAAGGTGATAGTTGGGGCCAAAAGGGCAGTTAAGCTTAGTTAATGCTTGTTAAATAGAAACAAAGGTGTAGCTGGTATTCGTCAACACAGTGCCTAGGTTCCCCAGCCTGGCTGATCATTGGAATCACTTGGGGATTTGGTGAAAATAGATCCCTAGGCTCCACTTGCAACCTAGTGAATCATGATTCCAAAGATTGCCAAGTTTCAGAACCTAACGTCTGGTGGTTATGGGTAGTCCAGGACAGGTGGGTTTGCGAGAGTTATTTTTGTGTTATCTTTTGAAATATATCACTAGTGAGCGTATCTTACAGAATTTTAAAACAGCCGTACTGCTTCTGAAAGCAATCCTTAGACTGATTTTGGTACCCAAACCAGTTGCTGTTGAGTTGATTTGGACCCATGGCAAGCCCCATGGGTGGTGCAGAGCCAGGCCCGTGCTCCTGGGGCTTGCAGGGCAGCAGCTTGGCAGGCCTTTCTTCTGAGGTGCCTTTGGGTGGTTTTGAACATCCAGCCGTATTGCCACCGAGGTCATTCTGGATATCCTTGTCCCCCTGTAATCTTTCCGCATTCCAGAGTAATACTTGATACGTGCGCTTAAGATCTTTCTCAAAGCCCGCTTTCCTGGTGGCCTTCTCAGCTGGTGAACCTCAGGTGACTCTTCCTCACCAGTAGGTAAAAATGTGCGGGCTGGTGTGCAAGCTCTTTCATCAGAGCATTTCCTCCTACCAGGTTTATTTCCTTCTGTCATTTAACATGCATTCCCCGCCCCAGTGTGGAGTCTCCCACGTTACCTGTGCTCAAGTCCTCTTCCAAGCCTTCTACTTTTGCTATTTTTTCTTTTCTTTTTTTAAGTAAATGTTTTTACTAACAATTTTCCTCTGCTTATCAGATATATGGAATATATAAGCATTTGTTTGTTTTTTAAACAAAACTGACTCAGGTTAAATATTAGTTTTATAACATACTATCAAAAAACGATTTCCTGTGTTAAAGTTCCAATACACACAAAAGTCGAACAGAGTATACTGAAACTCTGGATTCACCCCCTCCTCAACTTTAATAATTATTAGCATTTTTGTCATGTACTTTGGACATGTTATCAGGAGGGACCAGTCCCTGGAGTACATCATAGTTAGTCAAAGGTCAGTGAAACACAGGAAGGACTCCCTCTGTGAGATGGGCGGCCGAGAGCTGTAGACATGGACTCCAGCCCAGCAACCACTGTGAGGCTGGCCCAGCACCAGGCCAGGCTTGGGGCCGTTGAACGTGGGTCGCTGTAGACCAGAAGTGCCTCGGTGGCACCCAACAACCACTCATCTGTTGCCTCCCACCTCTTTCTGGATTACTTTAAAACCAACCCTAGACATCATATAAGGCTTTTTTTAACCGAACCAGGAATTATAACTAACAGCTCCTTAAGATCATCTAATACAAGCCCATGTTCATTCCCCTATTAATCGATAACTTTAAAATAAGTCAGCATCCAAAGTCTACACATTGCAGTTTGCTGATGCCGCTGAAGTAAACAAATTACCTTCTTTTTGCCCCTATTTTTTAATCCTAGAATTTGAATTTTATTAATTGCATCATCATGGTGCTGCTTAACTTGTTCTTTTTGCTCTTTATTGCCTCAGAACAAAACCACCACAAACCCCCCTGCTGTGGAGTCAGTTCTGACTCATGGAGGCCCTGTAGGGTTTCCCAGACTAACCCCGCCCCCCCCCAGTTTGATTGGCACATAATCCATATATCGTACTATTCCATCATTCAGTCATGTCAAGAAGAACTGTACAATCATTACCACGATCAATTTCAGAACATCCCCATGATTAAATCACCTTTAAAATGAGTTGTGTAATCGCATGCTATTCCAGCGCTCCGCTCTCTCCCGCCTTGCTGATTTACTGGAGAAATCCCCTTGCCCTCCCCATCTCCCTCTCCCCCACCTCTACATCTCTTACAAACCCTTGCACACCATGGGTGTTGCTTACCCTAGACTCTAGGTGCTGGTTGAGGTGGGGGAGCGTCAGGCCCTCAGGACATGAAAGGCCTGAGAAAGAAATACCAGCGAACGGCACACACCTCTCCAAAGACAAACAGGTCCAGCATCACCTTAGGAGTGCACGAGTTAAATGCTGGACCCGTGTGGCCCACAAATGATTTTATAAATATCCAAATGGCCCTTGGCAGAAAAACGTTTCCCCACCCCTGTTCTAAACTAATTTCATTCGTTTGAAAAATGAAGATTTTCCTTAGGAATTGGCAAAGTGTTGATTTGTAGGTAGTACAAAACCCCACCTATGACGTATCCTTGCCCCTGGCCAAAAAAAAAGTTACTCATTTAACTTAGATCCAATTACTAGTATATTGGCAACAGGCGTGAGCCATCCATCGGGCTGCTAACCCGGTCAGCCTGTGAGCAGCTCAAGGAGCTTTTGTTTCCTTTGCCCAATGACAGGAGCAACAGATGTGTCCTTAGCTTACCCGCTACGGATAATGATCTGGTGGGACAATTTGATTAGAGAGGAGCAAAAAATTCAAGATGCGCATTTTGCACATTTCCTTTGAGTCTGGTGCCTAAGCCATAGACTGGGAGTATGAGTGTGTTTGGAAATAGCAGGCTAACTCTAACCTTGATCTCAGGTCCAGGCCAGCGCAGGCCAGCTTCTTTGGGAATGGATGGGAAACAGGTTCTTGGATGATGTGTTCTGGCCACTGCATTTCTGATGCCGTTGCTGGTATTTCTCAGGTGGAGACTGGCGGCATGAGGATGTCAGGGTGGCGGGGGAGACAAGGTGAGGGAGTTGAAGATGCCTTGTTCCGTAGCCATTGATTGGCTTCCTCTGTGGGAAAATCTGGCGGCTTTTACCCTTCAGACAAGTTTCTCTTTTTTCCTTGTGTCAATAAGCTGCCTTAGAAGGCCGGTCCTATTTCTTTTCTATCTGTGAGGCTTGAGTAGCAAAGTCCCATGGTGGCAGTTAGCCAGCAAGCAAACTAATTTTGGCATTCGCCTTATGGACATTGACCTGCGCTGGTCCCAGTAAAAGGCTGCTTTCACCTGCCCCTCTACCCGTGTGCACTGAGCCCCTACTGGAGCCCGTGCTTACTGCCTAGCGCAGCGTGGTTGTTAGTAACCTCTGTGGCTGTAGGGATTCCTGAGGAGGGTGGCGTGACCGCCCACTGTCATTCTGGACGCCTTCTGACATAGATGAGACGTGAAGTGAGTCATGCAGGATAAACCCTATGGCGCCACGGACTTCCCTTGTACCAGAGGCTCCGTGGGGAGAGGGGTTCATTGAGGGTCACATAGGTTTAGGAAACAATTATATCCTCTAAAGAAAATGCTCAATTTGGTTAAGCCCTGCACTTTCCCCGAAAACCATCTTTGTGTCTTTATCTAATGGAGAATCTTAGGTAAGCACTGCTTTTCATGGAGGAAAGAAAGAAGGTGGATGGTAGGGAAGATGGCTGTTTGGGAGTCCCGCGAAATGAGGACCTTTTTCTTTAGATTAGCCACCCACACTGCCTCTTGTGGAGAGTTGACGAGGCCTTCATAGTCCTGTGAGCTATCTGGAGGTGTGCTCACTCTTGTTAACCGTGGTGCCACTTATGCTTTGCTGGTTGTCTCTGGCCCTAGAACATTCTAGGACCTACCTTGTCCCCTAGAATTGACCGAAACCCAGAGGAGCGTTGTCCTAAATAGAAAGTGTCGGTTTGATTGCCTGGGCCCCGTGCTGCACTGTTGGGTGAGAGCGCCCCCTGCTGACGCTCCTCCTGTTGTTGCTCCCTGTGCTCGGCCAGCCCTTCCTTCCACTTACCCATTGATTTCTCATTGGCTTGGCCCACCGCCGCCTTCAGTCCACTGAGTGTGTGGAACTTTGTCCTGTTATTTCAGAGCCTGTTCTCTTGAGTTCTTGGACCTGTTTTCTATTCCCATAGTCCTTTCTCCCTCGTACTGTCGCTGTGTTTTTCCAGGCTTCCTGACCTTTCCAGACTAGTTATCCTAGCTTCCCATTCATCTGCTTCCTCCATCTCTGCTCTGGCCATCTTACAGAGTCCTTTGCTATCCACAAGGAGGATGGCAAAGTGCCTCAGGTCCCCACTTCTCACCCACCACACAGTTCTGCTGGCTGAATGGTATCTTGGCACCGTCTCCCCTGCTCCAGATTCTAGTGTGGTCTTTCCCCTGACCCAGGGCAGACCAAGCCCTGCAGGACAGTGGGAGTGGGGAAGGTGTGTGTGTCTGTGCACGCTCAGGACATGGGGGCTGATAGTAGTGCAGTAGCAAGAGGAGAGGATTGCCAAGTACCCTGTGTTAACACTTGCTCTGTTTTCTAGCCACAGCACTGAAGAGGGGCGACCACTCATGACACAGCCCTTGCCAGAGAGATTGGACTTTGTGCGCAGTTTTCTGCAAAGTAGGTACCTCTCAGTTCCTGGGACTTGGAGTCCCGAGGTGCCAGTTCACAGGGTGGAGAAGGTGCAAGGTGCCTTGTTGTGTAGCCCTGAGGGGTATGTCGCAGGGTTGTTTCTGAGGCTGGGTGGTGCTTGCAGCAGCCAGGCCAAAGAGGAGCAGAGCGAGCTGTTAGACCCAAAGTCCGTCTTGAGACCCAGCTAGAGTCTTGGCGTCTGTTCTGAGACATTTCACCTTAGATTTCCATACCTACCTCACGTTCCTCTTGTCCCTCAAAGGAAAAACTGTTTTTGAGAAAACATCAAGCTAATTATTTAGGCGACAGGTGTTGAAACAGAGGCAGGTTGAGGTCCCAGTCCTGGCCCTGCTTGTTACTGCTGCGTGGCCTTTTGGGCCTATAGCTTCCCCCCTAGAGCTAAGAGATGATCGTTGCTCCAGTGTCTACTCACTGCCATCAAGTAGTTGCCAGTTTTGGGTGACTCTATAGGACAGGGTAGGACCCCCTGTGGTTTCCAGACTTAACTGTTTTAAGGGAGTAGAAAACCTCATCTTTGTTGGGAGGAACAGCTGGTAGTTCACACTGCTGACCTTGGGGTTAGCAGCCCAACCTTGTACACAAGCAGGGCTTCTTCTTCCTTTACTGGGTAGATTGGATAAGGACACACAACTTCGAACACAGTGCTGGAAGTTAAGTTCCCCTCTCATCATGTAGCCTTCGACCACTTAATTTTAATTGTTTAACGTGGTATGCTGTCTGTCAGTGCTACCTTGAGAGATTTTTAGGGAAGATGAAAATATAGATAAAAACAATGTGTCAGTCATTGGGCCCAAACCTTGTCCGAGCATCAGTGTCAGGTGTGTCCTAAGGTGACTCAGCGGCAGACGTAGCTGACCCAGGTTTGTCGGGTGACGGGATCTGCAGGCTCCATCTCTGTGGTGTGGAGTGTGGGGCGTTGCCACCAGCGAGTGGCTATGGATCCCCAACCTGCCTCCTTCTGACTCCTGGACTGGTCCAAGTTAGACTGTACATGGAAAAGTGTATATGTTGGAGAACATGGGACTTAGAAATAAGGAGACATGTTTCATCGCCGTACAGGAGGTAGCATTTCTGGTCCTCAGACTCTGACTTGACTTCTCCTGGGAGGCTCACCCTCATTATATACTGCTGTCTTTGCAGAAAATCGCAAACACCCGTCTTCCCCAGAATGCCTGGTGTCTGTGCAGAAAATGATGGAGGGATCGGAGCTGGAATTGGCCAAGGTACCTGTGGAACACTAGGCTGGTGGAGTGGGCAGAGCCATCTTTTAGCCTACAGGGAGATTGGGTGTTTTGGTCCTGGGACTCTCGGAGGTCATACTAGCCAGCTACCTGTCTGAGGCAGAGGCGAATTCAGTTTCAGAGTTCTGATAGCCATGGCCTTGTGACAGGCTTCCTAGATCGTAACTCAGTCGACTTTGCCCCAATGCAGCTTTCAGGCATTAGCCTAGAGAGAGGATGCCTGGACCTTCCACGATGGCAGGAATTCTAGCACCTGGCGTTGTGCAGAGTGAGTGGGCATTAATTAGCTCCTCAGTACATCAAGTGTTTATGATGCCATTAGGCAGTATTCCGAAGCTTTGGAACAAACCAAACTCATTGCCTTCCATTGATTCCAACTCACGGCGACTAGTGCAGAGCAGAACTGCCTCTCTTGGTAGAAAGGAAGCCTCGTCTTTCCCCTGTGGGAGAAGCAGCTCGTGGTTTCTAACTGCTGACCTGCGGATAGCAACCCACTGCACTCCCTGGGCTCCTTAGAAGTGTTGCCAGGTCTCCATCATACCTTAGAGTTCCCAGGATCACTCTGCGTGGAGCACTGTGTTAGTCTGGGTACTTAGAGAAACAAATTCACAGAAACTCATTCATGTATAAGAGAGTTTTACATAAAGGTTAAGTGCATATCAAGAAAACATCCCAACCCAGTGCTGCCCAAGCCCACAAGTCCATCATTAACCCATATGTCTGACACCAATCCACAAAGTCCTCCTCCATCTCACAAAACACACGCAATGACGCTGGCTGCAGGAGGAAAGCCAAATCTCGGCACTGGCAGGGGTCTCCACACAGCTGCTCTGGCACCCAGGGTTGCATCGGGGATGTCTTGCAGGAAGTAAGCCTTGCAAGCTGAAGCAGGGAACTGGCGAAGGCAGCTGCACCCTGGTCTGACCATTACAAAACAAGAGACCCGAGAACTAGAAAGGTGCGGCTCACCGAGCCATTTATCCCTCCGCCCTTCCATTAACCCCACGTGTGTTTATCGGCCAGGTTGGCACAATAAACTAACTCCCTCAGGCCCTGAGCAGACCCCGCTCACTGCCTACCTCCTGCTTGGCTTCCAGGTCACCATGCTGCTCTTGTACCACTTCACAATGAGCTCCAAGAGCCTCCGCGACTGGGACCAGTTTGAATACAAGATTCAGGTAAGCCCTGTGTCTCCACCCACCTTGCAGCCGCGCTTGCCTGTGCTCTGCCTCACCCATGTGGTTTTCTTCAGAGCATCTAGTGTTTAAGATTCCAGCAATTACAGCTTGTCGTAGACGTTTCAGAAAGTATTAAAAGCAGAAGGAAGGAAAGATGGCCAGTCATCTCATCCCTAAGAGTTCTTGGCTAATGTTTCAGTGGCTGTGTATCCAAGTCCCTTGCCTGTGGCAAATCTTTAACCTTTGTGTGTTTAGGCGGTGCACTGAAACGGTTACCGTTCTGTGTTCTACTGAGTCTGTTTTCCAGAGGGCTGAAGAAAAATGGTAGAAAACATGGAGTTAAAAGATAATCGAATTTGTCCATGAGCTGTTTGAGGCCCTCCTACATTGCCGCCTGTATGTCTTACACAGGGGTATCCCACTGACCCCACCCTTCTCTAGTAGAAAGGGATAGTCGAGCTTGTCTACTAGTTAGCTCGGACCAGCTCCCTCCACCCTGCATGAAGAGGAGTGGGCACCAGGGGAACCTCCTGCTGGGTGTGCTTCCTGTGTCAACAGCTGTCCCCTATTTTCCGGAGTAGAAGCAGGTGCAGGCCAGAGTGGGTGCTTGATAAGGACTGTGCCCAGTGTCGTCTTTCCTGTTGGTTGGAAATGTTGAGCCATCCCTGTGTCCTGTCCTTTTCTCACTCCTTCCTGGGATGGCAGTTGGCATTTGGTGGCATGAAGTGAGTAGTTAATCCTTCTACCTTTTCTCTGTTCCAAATTGATGAGAGACTTGGTAGAAATAAATTCTAAAGGAATAAGGAACAGCAGCAGTTAGGCGATGAGCTCACCTCTGTAGCTTTGAATTCAAACAGAAGATTGTATGACTGAGCTGGTGCATAAGCTTTGGTTGAGCCCTAGAGGCGCCATCACTTGGGATGTGGAGGAGACCAACAGTTCCATAGCAGATAGCAGTATTTGCCTGTTCACTTCCCTTGGAGTCAGTCGGGAACTTGGTGTGACTTGTGTGTGCAGAAGAGGAGACATGTGGGATGAGAGGTGTGTCTCTAGTTGAATGCTGCTGGCTGGGCCGCCGTTTCTGGAGCTGGGAGGAAGAAGGGGACCCCCCACCCACCGGCACCTGGGGCTCCTGAAATGCTTGGCCGGAGCTGTTCAATCTCCAGGGGCCTCATGAACCCTACCCGAAGTTCTTTCTCTTCCTTCCGGTTCAGGCTGAATTAGCCGTCATTCTCAAATTTGTGCTGGACCATGAGGATGGGCTCAACCTGAACGAGGACCTGGAGAGCTTCTTGCAAACAGGTGAGGAGGAGTGCACCCCGCGGACCCTTGTCTCTGAGCTGGGCCTGCCAGGGCCCCGAGTTGCAGAGATGTGCACCTCGTCAGGTGGCGGGGCAGGGACATTGCAAGGCTGGGTGAAGGAGGGAGACTAAGAACGGATGGCCAGAGAAGCAGAGAGACGTGAAAATAACGCGGTCTGGGGAACCAAAGAAAGGCGTCTTTTCCGTGTGAGAGCTCGGGTGGAGTTTAGAGAAGGTCCCTGACACTGACGCAAGGCTGGTTGGAGGAGAGGCCCTGCCTCCAGCTGGCTCCCAAGGTGCCTCTGTCTGATGGCATGAGGGAAAAGCAGGCGCTCCGAGTCAGGGGATAGGCTCCTCAAGCACTCCCATGGATCACCTGTGAGACAGAAAAGCCTCACCGAAGTTTGCTTCAGGACCTTGACCTCTGGGTAACCCTCACCCTCAACTTTAGGTCCTGCCCAGGGGCAGCTCCCACTGTTGACATATTAAGTGGGGTGTTCTCACATGTGATAGATACAAATCTTCACCCCTTAGAAAAGGCCGCGACTGGTTTGTCCATTTCTTCTTTCTCTCCAGCTCCTGTCCCTTCCACCTGCTCGAGCACCGTCTCGGAAGAGCGCTCCCTGCCCAGCCACCAGACCAAGAAGGAGGTCCGCTTCCTAGAGCTGCAGAACGTCGCCTCCTCGTCCAGTGGGAACAAGTACGTGCTGGCCCTTCTGCTGGGACAGGACCGCAGGATCTGGGCTTCAGCCCTCTACGCAGAGACCGAGCTGCCAACTGGTCTCACGTCAGCTGGGAGCATTTGAGTAGCCTTAGATCTTGTTTTCTCACCTCGTTCGGCACTGATTGGGGGACTGGTGAGCATCTGTTTGGGGAAGACGGCTGCTGGCACAGGCCACCACTCTCTGTGGAACACCCATCTTCCCTGGAGATGCCGCGGAAGCAGTCTCTCTTCTCAGTGCAGCTCTGCAGAGGCTGGGAGAATTTGTCTCTTTTTTTCTTTTTCAAGCACATAAAGTTTGGAGAAGGGTAAAGCTAAGTCCCCTCAAGGTCATGCCATGAGGCATGTCTGTGGCCAGTGATAAACTGGTGACACAGCTCTCAGACTGCAAGTTCTAACCGAGACTTCCGGGCTATCTCCTTCCTCAGCTTCCTTGCAGGGTCTCCAGCCTCCCCCATGGGCGACATCCTGAATACTCCACAGTTCCAGGTGAGGCGGCTGAAGCAGCAGCTTGCCGACGAGAGGAACAATAGGGATGAGCTAGAACTGGAGCTGGCCGAGCACCGCAAGCTCCTCACTGAGAAGGGTAGGTGCCTGGGCCCTGGCTGGGGTATGTGAATGGGCAGCATTTGGGACTGTCATCCAGAGGGCGTTGGACTTGTCTGGGGATGCCCCTTGAGTCTCTTGTGCTGTGCCCCTACTGGCCCTGAAGCTCTGCCCTTGTGCTTCGCGTCAGATTGGAAGCCAAGCTGAGTTCTGCCCTTCCTACCACCTCCCATGTCCCTGGCAGAGTCAGTCTGATGCTCCACTCCTCCCCATCGCTCTGTGCTCACTCTTCTCTCCCCTGACCCCGGGCAGATGCCCAGATCGCCCTGATGCAGCAACGCATTGACCGCCTGGCTCTGCTCAATGAGAAACCAGCGACCAGCCCGCCGGAGCCCAGGGAGCTCGAGGAGTTGCGCGGCAAGAACGAGAGGTATGAGCCGCCATCTCGCCCCCCACCCCGCCCAGCCCCCAGCGGGGTTGTCCTCTGCTCACGGCCTCGGTCCCCCGCAGCCTCACTGTGCGGCTGCACGAGACGCTGAAGCAATGCCAGGACCTAAAGACAGAGAAGAGCCAGATGGATCGCAAGATCAACCAGCTATCTGAGGAGAATGGAGACCTTTCCTTTAAGGTGAGGGGCTGGAGGGCGGGGGTGCGGCAAGTCAGCTGAGGCTGGTTGGAAGACTCCAGAGAGCGGGGAGTCTCGAGACCCTGCCTTCTCTGCCCGGTGATCGGCTGTGAAGTGCCTCAGTAGGACGCCGTCTGCTGGCTCTCCATGTTGGTTTGTATTCGGGGCTATGGATTCCCACCTGTCTGTCGCAGCTGCGGGAGTTTGCCAGTCACCTGCAGCAACTCCAGGGTGCCCTCAACGAGCTGACCGAAGAGCATGGCAAGGCCACCCGTGAGTGGGAGGAGAAGCGGGTCCACCTGGAGAAGGAGCTCGGCACAGCCCTGCAGGACAAGGTAGCCGGCCACGAGGCGGATCCGATGCTCAAAGCTGCATTCGCCCACCACTCTCTTCAAGTCTTTGGAAAGGAAATGAATTTGTCTTCCAGGTTTTGCGGTGTGCTGTCAGGGGAACTTGTGGGCTTCAGTCCAGCACATCTCAGTTAGAACCTTGTGCTGTTTACCAGTGTGGATCTTGAACAAGTTACTCAGTCACCCAGGCATTGGGGATAGCATAGTAAGAGTAGCTGCTTCATAAGCTTTGGGGGTCATGTGGTTTGAGTGAAAGTGTATGGAGTAAATTAGACCCCAGGCAGCAATCCGACACCTTTTGTTTGGAGGCATCAGTCGTAGTGCCTGCAGTGCACAGCGCTCCTTCCACACCCCTCCCCACCCTCACTTATGTGTGCCCATCTGCCCTGTCCCCTCCTGCCTTCCAGGGGCACTGGGGCAAATGCTGGCCTTGCTTTTTGGCCTCTGGTGGCTCCTTGTTCTGAGGAGTGTGGGCCTCTCTGGCTGAAAGGGGGCCTCTGGGAGCATGTTAGTTCCAGGTTTGACGGGCGGCCGCTTTGTCACTGTGAGAGTCTGTCTAACCCCAAAAGAAGCCAGACTCACTGCCATCGAGTCGATGCCAGTTCCTAGCGGATTCGGAGACTGTTTACAGAGCAGAAAGTCCCGTCTTTCTCCCTCGGAGCAGCTGGTGGTGGTTTGGAATTTCGGATCTTGCAGTTGCAACCCAGCACATAACCACTACGTCACCAGGGCGCCTCCATACATCATACATATGTAGCACCTAACATGGTGTGGGGCAGAGTTGCGTTCAGTGAGTTAACTGCTATTACGGACTGATTTTGCTACTTAAGAACACGTGCATGGGCCTTGACCAGGCGGCATCTGAGTTTTCATGCCTGGCGCTGTGAAAGAGGGAGAGTAATGGCCACTTCTCCGATGGGCCACACAGCTTCGAAAAGACTCGGGCTCACCCAGCACAGCGTGTGACCTGGAGGAGGCGCTTAGGGAGCAGGGCGGGGATGGTGGGTGACGCCATAACCGCTACCACTGGCGGCTTGGATGGTTTCCATAATACAGGAGCCAAGATTTGTCTGAGGAGAGCTATGCAGTAAGGAAATTTCAAGCAAAGTCTCCAATAGCCTTGGAGAAGAAAGCAGTTCCCATTGTAACAACACAGGAACCTGGGCTATAAAGTCAGGTCCTTCAGTGCCCTGGGTCTGGAGTGTTTGAGTCTCTTCCCAGCCCGTGTGAAAGGAGATTTTGGTCACGAGATGGTAGGGCTGCTGATGTCATGAGGCCCTGTGTGCTCCATTAGTGATGATGCCTCCTCTGTTTACTCCCAGAAATACCTTGAGGAGAAGAAGGAAATCCTTCTGGGAAAACTTTCACAGCTGGAAGAGCGTTCTCCCCAGCCGCAGGAGAAGGGGGAGGTGCTGGGTGATGCCTTAAAGGTAAGACTGCTGGGAGCCACCTGTAGGACCCTTGTGCTGGGCTCGGGTGGGCTCACGCGCAGTTGGGCCCCAGAGCTCTGCTCACCCGTCGTGGTCTCTCACCAGCTGGAAGCCCTGACACAGGAGGCAGCCACTCTCGCTACAAACTGCGCAGAGCTGCAGGCCAAAGTGGAGGTGCTAGAGACGGAGCGGGGCCAGCAGAAAGCCCAGCTGCTGGCGGAGCGGGCCCAGTTTGAAGAAGAAAAGCAGCAGCTGGCTGGCCTGATTGCAGGCCTGCAGAGTTCCATCTCCACCCTCAGCCAGGCCAAGGAAGACCTGGAGAAGACCTCACAGGCACAGAATGCACAGTTGACCACCCAGGTGGCCACTCTGACTTCTGAGCTCACCACGCTCAATGCCACTCTCCAGCGGCAGGACCAAGAACTGACTGGCCTGAAGCAAGAAGCGGAAAAGGAGCAGGCCCAGCTAGCCCAGACGATTCAGCAGCAAGAACAGGCCTCCCAGGGCCTCCGCCACCAGGTGGAGCAGTTGAGCAGCAGCCTGAAGCAGAAGGAGCAGCAGCTGGAGGAGGCAGTGAAGGAGCAGGACGTGATCAGGCAGGACCTGACTCAACAACTAGCCACTGCTGCCAGGGAGCGGGAAGCCTCCTTGAGAGAGAGGGACACAGCCCTCCGGCAGCTGGAGGCAGAGGACAAGGAGAAGGCTGCTCAGCTGGAGGTTCTGCAGCAGCAACTTCAGGCTGCAAATGAAGCCCGGGACGGTGCCCAGACCTCCGCAAGCCAAGCCCAGCGGGAGAAGGCGGAGCTGAGCGGGAAGGTCAAGGAACTCCACGCCCGCGTTGAGGCAGCCCAACAGGAGCAGCATGCAACCCGGACCCAGGTGACGGAGCTGGAGGCCCAGCTGAGGTCTGAGCAGCAAAAAGCAACTGCGAGAGAAGGGGTGGCCCAAAAGAATGAGCAGCTGCAGGAGCAGCTCCGGGCCCTTGAGGAGTCCTTGAAGGCCACCAAGGGCAGCCTCGAGGAGGAGAAGCGCCGGGCCGCAGAGGCGTGCGAGGAACAGCAGCGCTGTGTCTCCGAGCTACAGGCAGAGGCCCGCAACCTGGCGGAACAGCGGGAACAGGAGCAGAAGGAGCTAGAAGAAGAGAAAGCTGGGCGCAAGGGTCTGGAGAGGCAGCTGCAGCAGCGTGGGGAGGCCCATCAGGCCGAGGTGGAAGCCCTGCGGCGGGAGCTGGCAGAGGCCGTCGCCGCCCAGCAGAGGGGGGAGAGTGAGTACGAGGAGCTCATCAAGGAGCTGGCGACCTGGCGTGAGCGGTACGAGGAGAGCCAGCAGGAGGAGGCTCAGTATGGCGCCCTGTTCCAGGAGCAGCTGGAGGCCCTCAAGGAGGAATGCGAGAAGGCCCGCCAGGAGCTACAGGAGGCCAAGGAGAAGGTGTCGGGGATCGAGGCCCAGAGCGAGCTCCAGATGAGCCAGCAGCAGGATGAGCTCACTCAGCTCCGGGGCAGCCTGGCTAGAGTCCACCAGCAGGTCCAGGAGAAGGAGGCCAGGGCCCAGAAGCTCACCGACGACCTCGCCGCTCTGCAGGAGAAGATGGCTGCCACCAGCAAGGAGGTGGCCCGCCTGGAGGCGTTGGTGCGCAAGGCAGGAGAGCAGCAGGATGCGGGCTCCCGTGAGCCTCTCAAGGAGCACCCCGGGGCAGGAGATAAAGAGGCAGAGTGTCCGGAGGAGGAGGAGCAGCCCCAGCCCCCGTTCTGCAGCACCCAGGCCACACTGCAGGCTGTGGAGCGTGAGGCTGAGCGGATGGGGAGTGAGCTGGAGAGGTTGCGTGCTGCGCTGATGGAGAGCCAGGGCCAGCAGCAGGAGGAGCGCGGGCAGCAGGAGAGGGAGGTGGCACGGCTGATGCAGGAGCGAGGCCGAGCCCAAGCAGACCTTGCCCAAGAGAAGGCAGCCAAGGCCGAGCTGGAGATGCGGCTGAAGAATGCCCTCAATGAGCAGCGCGTGGAGTTTGCTGCCCTGCAGGAGGCACTGGCCCGCGCCCTGCGGGAGAAAGAAGGGAAGGACCAGGATCTGGCCAAGCTCCGGAGTCAGGAGGCAGCCCAGCAAGCGGAGCTGGTGGAGCTGCAGCAAACCTTGGGACAACTGAAGGAGCAGCTGGCTGCAGAGAAGGAGCGCCAACAGTCCGCAGCAGCAGCCAGCGGAGAAGACGCCTCCAGGCCGGGAGCAACTGCAAAGACAGAGCCGTCGGGCGCGGAGCTGGAGGCCCTTCGAGCAGAGGTGAGCCGTCTAGAGCAGCAGTGCCACGGGCACCAGGAGAAGGCCTCCAGCCTGGAGCGCAGCCTGGACGCCGAGCGTGCCTCCCATGCCCAGTGGGACAGCACTCTGGATACCCTGAGAGGCCAGTTAGAGGAGAAGGCCCAGGAGCTGGGGCGCTGTCAGGAGGCCTTAGCCTCCGCCCACAGGGAGTTGACCGCTCACCGTGCCAAGGCCCAAGACCACAGCAAGGCTGAGGATGAGTGGAAGGCCCAGGTGGCCCGGGGCCAACAGGAGGCCGAGAGGAGAAGCAGCCTCATGAGCAGCCTGGAGGAGGAGGTGTCCATCCTGAGCCGCCAGGTCCTGGAGAAGGAAGGCGAGAGCAAGGAGCTGAAGCAGCTGGTGGCGGCCGAGTCGGAGAAGAGCCGGAAGCTTGATGAGAGGCTACGCCTCCTCCAGGCCGAGACGGCCAGCAGCAGCGCTCGAGCCGCTGAGCGCAGCTCCGCGCTGCGGGAGGAGGTGCAGACCCTCAGGGAGGAGGCTGAGAAACAGCGCGTGGCTTCAGAAAGCCTGAGGCAGGAGCTGGCCTCACAGGCGGAGCGGGCGGAGGAGCTGGGCCAAGAACTGAAGGCATGGCAGGAGAAGTTCTTCCAGAAGGAGCAGGCCCTCTCCGCCCTGCAGCTGGAGCACACCGGCACACAGGCCCTGGTGAGCGAGCTGCTGCCCGCCAAGCACCTGTGCCAGCAGTTGCAGGCCGAGCAGGTGGCCGCCGAGAAGCGCCACCGGGAGGAGCTGGAGCAGGGTAAGCAGGCGGCCGGTGGGCTGCGGGCAGAGCTGATGCGGGCTCAGCGCGAGCTCGGGGAGCTGGTGCCCCTGCGGCAGAAGGTGGCAGAACTGGAGCGCGTCGCCCAGCAGCTGCGGGCAGAGAAGGCGAGCTATGCCGAGCAGCTCAGCATGCTGAAAAAGGCCCATGGCCTCCTGGCCGAGGAGAACCGGGGCTTGGGGGAGCGGGCCAACCTGGGCCGGCAGTTTCTGGAAGTGGAGCTGGATCAGGCTCGGGAGAAGTACGTGCAGGAGCTGGCCGCCGTGCGCGCTGATGCAGAGACCCGTCTGGCGGAGGTGCGGCAGGAAGCACAGAATGCTGCCCGGGAGCTGGAGGTGATGGCTGCCAAGTACGAGGGCGCCAAGGTCAAGGTTTTGGAGGAGAGGCAGCGGTTCCAAGAGGAGAGGCAGAAACTCACTGCCCAGGTAAGATGCCCAGCCCAGCCCCAAAGGGGGGACTGGGGCCTTCAGCGTTCACGTTAAGGATTGAGCTAGCAAAAGGCCTTCTCGTACTTCACCAGGTGGCAAGAGGCAGAGGCTGGCCCTGTTGTCTTCAGATATGTCTCTCCCCTTCCCTGAGGTTCTGTCCCCGGAGAGCCCAACTGGGGTTCTTTAGATGACTGGAGGCCGAATGCGTTGGGGGCAAGGACCAGAGTTCAGGGATGCCAGCTGACAGCCGGCGGGCCTCTTTGGGCCCCACCTCACTGTCTCTATTGCCCCTCCCCTACGCACAGGTGGAGCAGCTAGAGCTATTTCACAGAGAGCAAACTAAGCAGGGAACGCCTGGGGTACTTGTTAAGTGCTGGCTGCTTAAGCGGGGACCTATCTTGGTGCATGGCCCCAGCTTCAGCTTGCCTCCGCCAGCTCCGGTTGTGAACTGTTTGCGAAGGTCAGGCCAGGAGTGCAGTGTGCTGGGTCCTCTCGGGCCTCGTCCAGGTCACTTCTTCACCCTTCTGCACGCTCTCACCCGTCAGAAAGGAGGGCTGGGATGGGCCTCATTCCCACATCGCTGCCAGAGACAGGCTCGATCCCTGTGTTTCTAGATCCTCCCGGTCATGTTCTGAGCTGAGGAGGATTGGGGATGGGCCTTGTTTACCATTACCCCGTATTCCCCCAGTGAGTATGGACAGACTTATGCCATCACGGTGGCGGCTTAGGCATCTGTCAGTGTTAGGAGTGTGGGTTCAAGGAACTGCTTCCCGAGAGCATGGTGGGCGGCGCTCTGGAGGAAGGCCCTGGCTGAGAGGAGGGCTGCAGGGTGGCTATTTAGTGAGCACACCCTTCCTTCGCCTTCCCTCCTCAGGCCTGCTGAGGGGTTAGACTTTCCTCAGCTCTGGCCCAGGGAGGACGGGAGAACAGAATGGCAGTTAGCAGTGGAGTCTTTGCCTCTGCCCTTTTCCTGCTCTTGCTTGCACTCCTCGAATGCCTGGAGAAAATGAGGGGCTGGGGGTGGGGGGGCATCATGCGCCCCTGGTTCCTGTGGGAGTGGGCGGGCTGAGTGTGTGTGCTGCCCTCCAAGCAGTCTTCGCAGCGCTAACCACAGCGGCCCCACTGCTGCCCCAGCCCTAACAGCGTGCCTATTGGGAAGAGGTCTTGGGGGGTGTGGGCTCTGGCTCTGGCAGTGGCACGAGAGGGAGGGATGGCTGTGCATAGTCTGCTAGAGTTAGGAACTAGGTCCCGACTCCTCGGCCAGGTTTGGGCTGGAGAGCAGCAGCAAGAGCAGGTGGGGTAGGCCTCTCTGCAGACTGCGGTGCAGCCCGTGAGCATGGCAGGCGGTGCGGGAACATCTCTCTTGGGTCGCCTCACTCAGGTTCTGCCCACCTGGGCAGCAGTGAGCGTGCACTGAAAAGACCCGAGTTAGGAACACTGTGGGAGTACTGGCCTGGGGCAATGCCAATTAGAGGAATTGACCCCTTTGAGTCTTCTCTTCCCTCCACTCCACTCCCCAGATGGACGAGCTGAGTAAGAAGTTAGCGGACCATGACCAAGCCAGCAAGGCGCAGCAGCAGAAGCTGAAGGTGGGACTGATGGCCAGGAGGCCTGATAACCTGCTCGCTCTGTGGCTGGAGGGGTGAAGGGCCCTCTATGCCCGAGCTGTGGTGGGTGAGGGAACAGAGGAGAGGAGGCAGCTATCAGAGGACCTGCCTGTGGCTTGGGAGCCCCAGCTTGTGCTTCTCGGCACCCGAGGGGAGGCTGGAGCCACTGCCCCCCACTCCTTGAGATGTCTGCTGCACAGTAAGGAGCCCCTAGCCTCATGTGCTATTGAAATTTACATTTATCTCACCAAAATAAATGTAAGATTTGGTCCCTCCATCACATTGGCCCCATAGTTGTGGGTGACTACTGGCTGCTGTACTGGACAACAGACAGACCGGGCTCTGTTTAACTCTGGTCTAGATAGCCAGAACTTGGGCGGCGAGTGTGCTGATGGTATTTGATGTCACAGTGCAACTAGCCCTCAAATGGTTTCCACCCTGCCCTCATGCAGGATTTGCTTTTTGCGGACCCAGACTTCCTGGTTGTTAGTCAAGGGTAAAGGCAGGAGCCGCAGCAGTCTGGAGCATACTAAGCCCGGGCGGTGGGTCACAGGAGGGGTGGGTGCACAGAGCTCGCTTTCCCTGAAAGCTCACCTTCCACCTGCATCACCCCACTCATCTGAGTGACAGCCAGAAGTCTTTTGCTCCAGGCGGGGCCTGCCCTGGGTCCAGGGACCCCCGAGGCAAGGGCAGGGTGGCTCTGTCAGCACTTCTGCAGGCCGAGCACTGGGCAAGACCTGCTCTGTGCTCTGGTGGGGCCCCACTGGCCCAGGGATCCCGTTAAAGCCCTGGCGCTGTCAGAGCCAGAGCTTATCCTGCCATTTAGTCACGATGACCCTGGGCATTATGCTCACCCCTGAGCTCAGTTCTAAAATGGGGATGAAGTTACTTCCCAGAGCAGTTTTGAGGATAAACGAGTGGTGTCCTCAGAGAGCCCCATGCTCTGCCCCCGGGTGTCCGTGTGAATCTCTCTCCTTTCATCCTTGGAAGACTGTATCCTTGATGCCATATGCCTGGTCTCAAAGAAGCCCAAGAACTGTGCCTGAGGGAAGGGAAGGCTGGCAAGGGCTGGCCAGGGAAGGCTACCGCAGAATGTAGCCCCGGGCTGGGCGGGTGAGTGGTGTTTGAGTGAGCGGGGACTGCCGGGAAGTGCGTGCGCATGTCGGATGAGAACAGTCAGGGAGCCCAAGGCGCTAGGCCAAGTCGGTGGGTTTGGGTGGAGCAGCTAGACTGAGCCCACTGATGAGCCTTTCCGTGCTCCCAGGCTCAAGGAGGCGAGAGGCAGCAGGAGGCCCAGCGCCTCCAGACCCAGCTCAAGGAACTGCAGGCCCAGCTGAGCCAGAAGGAGCAGGCCGCCGAGCACTACAGGCTGCAGGTGAGGAAACCCATCCAAGTGTGCCCTGCCTACCCTCTTGCCTCTGGCCCAGCCCTCCTATCCTCTCTCTCCCCAAAGATGGAGAAGGCCAAGACCCATTATGATGCCAAGAAGCAGCAGAACCAAGAGCTGCAGGAACAGTTGCAGGGCTTGGAGCAGCTGCAGAAGGAAAACAAGGAGCTGCGGGCGGAAGCTGAGCGGCTGGGCCGGGAGCTGCAGCAGACCAACCTGAAGAGCAAGGAGGCGGAGCAGACCTGCTGCCAACTGACTGCCCAGGTGCACAGCCTGGAGGCACAGGTGAGTGCCTGGCTGGAGACCTGTACCCTCTCCACACTTTGCTTCCTGCTTTCGTTCACTCTCCTGGCCCTGTCCTTCCCAGGTGGCCCATGCTGACCAGCAGCTTCGAGACCTGGGCAGGTTCCAAGTGGCAACTGATGCTTTAAAAAGCCGGGAGCCCCAAGCTAAGCCCCAGCTGGACTTGAGCATCGACAGCCTGGACCTGAGCTGTGAGGAGGCGACTCCACTTGCTATCTCCAGGTCAGTGGCATCTCTGTTTGACCATCCTGTGTCCCTGGCACTGGGTTGGTGAGAAGTCTGCTCACTAGGGAGGGATGAAGAAAAAGGTCTCGGATGTGGGGCCCCAGCAGGCTGTACAGGGAGAGGGAAGAGGAGGAGGGGAAGAGTCAGTCCTGCCTGCGTGCAGCTTGGAAGAGTGCACAAATGGGTACGCTAGGTGCCCAGGAGACAGAGGCTGTGGGCTCAGCAGACCCTGATCCCAGGGGACAGTGGAAGGAGGCTGGCATTTAGACCTGGTCAAGGCACCAGGGGGCTTCTGAAAAAGACTCAGATCTAGGGGTACATGGTCACATTTGCATCTTAAAGAATTCGGATGACAATGTCGAGGATAAGACTAGAACCACACTTGTTTTTATCGAGCAAACACTGAAGTCGGACACTGCTCTGCATCCTGACTAGTAACGACTTGGCTCCCGACAACCCTGCACAGTCGGTCCTTTACTCGTCTCAACAGCGGAGTCTGGCCAGGGCTTAGAGGGGCAGTCCCTTGTCCTTGTCCAGGAGCACTCTCTGGCAGTCTAGGTCACCAGACAGGACAGACTCAATGGCTCAGATTGGCAGGAGAGAGGGCAGCGGTGGGCATTGTGTCCATGCACATGGCATGGGGGCCTGGGTTAAGAGCACAACACCAACTGAAATAAGGAATGTCGGCGGCAAAATAGACAGATGTGCTCAGTTTGGCATACACTCACTGTGGGCTGGGAATCTTGGGGATATCTCGGGCCACTTGGCTGTTTGATCTGGAGCTGACCCTCTGAGACTCGCCCAGGCCAAGCTATCGGAGTTGGCAGCATTGAGGCACTGGAGCAGGTCTGGGGGAGACTGACTTGGTCAGGAAGAGTGTGCAGTAAAGGGAGGGCCCAGGTCAAGCGGTCTCCTGGTTGCCTTTTAAAGACCAGAGGTGGTGTGTGGCCTGGTCTGCTTAAGAATGTAGGAATGACTGCTTTGGAGCCAAGAGACTGTCCATCCCTACACCTCAGCAGGTCTCCTTCCTACAGCAAGCTGCCTCGGACCCAGCCTGATGGCACCAGTGCTCTTGGAGAGCCAGCCTCGCCTATCTCGCAGCGCCTGCCCCCCAAGGTAGAATCACTCGAGAGCCTCTACTTCACCCCCATCTCTACTCGGAGCCAGGCGCCCTTGGAGAGCAGCTTGGACTCCCTAGGGGATGTCTTCCTGGACTCGGGCCGCAAGACCCGCTCTGCCCGTCGACGCACCACCCAGATCATCAACATCACCATGACCAAGGTGAGGTTGCCAGGAGCAGGAGTGGGGCTATGGGGCCTCCTGGTGACCGCCTGAGGACAGTAACATCCCTGACATCAGAGAGTTCACAGAACAGCCCAGGAGGCCGGCAGTCAGGGATTTTCATCCCCTAGAGAAGGGAAAGCCTCAGAAAAGAAGCCATGTGTCTCAGGCCTCTTGTGTAGAGGCGTGGTAGACCTGGGCCCTGTCTCCACGAAGACTGGTGCGTTCTGTCCCTCCCTGGGTTACACTGATCTGGGTCTCTTTGGCTGGACTCTTCATGCCCGTGTTGCCTTACCCCCCCC